TATCCTCATGGATCCTTTTGATGCTGATGTTGCTGAGGCAGCATCTTTACCTATGGCTGCTTTGACTTGACAGGTGAAATTACATGCTGTTCCATGAACCTGTATGTTAGTCAAGGACCAAACTGCTGGTGTTTGTACTGCTGAGAGATATACTTTCACAGTAACTCATGATTTTGGAATGCTGTGGAAGCAACATGCCTCCCTTACTTCCAGTGAAAAGGAAGTTAAAAATGGCCTCCACATTCAGGAATTACTGAATGCACTACCCCCTGACACATTAGCTACTGTTAAGGTTCTGAGGCTTTTTTTTTTTTTTTTTTTGGCCTCACTGCACTGCTTGCAGAATATCAGTTCCTCAACTAGGGATTGAACCTGTGCCCTCAGCAGTGGAAACTCAGGAGTCTTAACCACTGGACTGCCAGGGAATTCCCCAGTGAAGCCTGTTTGTAATGCTCCTGAATATTGCAAACTGCCTAATGAGGCTTGGCAAATGGATTTCATGCAGCTTCCTCTAATGGATATAAATATGCTCACATCATGGTCTGTGTGTTTTCACACTGGACTGAAACCTTCCTTGCAGACACAGGAACTCTAACCCTAATCTCTACTGTGGCTAAAATTCTTCTTGAAATAGTATTCCTACCAGAGGAACTCCTCTTGAATTTCATATTGATCAAAAAACCTGCTTTACTGGTTAGGTACTTTGACAAGTCTCTTCTGTATGACCAGTTTTACATTATCACTGTGATTACTACCCTCAATCCTCTGGTTTAGTCAGACACACTAATGGCATAATTATGACTCAGTTGGCAGAATTTATTGAGGCCCCATAAATACCCTGACCAAATGTATTGCCGTTAGTTCTAAATCTCAGAGCCAGACCTTTTGGAACTCATAAACTCTCACCCTTTGTGACAGTCACAAGATGCCCAATGCAGGACTACTGATTCTTTTGACCTACAACTGATAAAAGAGGAGATGCTTCAATATTGCAAAGGCCTAACTGCTTCTACGAAAAGTAACCATGTTTTGTAGAACAGTCTTTTCACAGTACCCTTGGGAAACAAAGACCTTATGGATCACGTCTTGCAACTTAAGAGGTTTTGCTGATTCAAGAATGTACTTCTAGGGATTTCCCTGGTCCAGTAACTAAGACTCCACACTCCCAATGCCAGGGTTTGATCTCTGGTCGGGGAACTAGCTCCCACCTGCAGTAGTTAAAAGTTCACATGCTGCAACTGAAGATTCCACATGTCACAATGAAGATTAAAGATCCTTTGTGCTGCAACTAAGACCTGGTACAGCCAAATAAATAAGTTAATTAATGTAAAAACAACACCTCCAAAAGAACTCTCTTCAGCCTCTCTGTATCTGGACCAGGTCTGCTGGAAGTTTGTTACCAAACCCTTGATGATAACATAACTCTTCAGATGATATCCAATGGCTATGATCTTAATAACATACAGACTAAAGTGCTTGAAGGTTCTTCCTCTTACCCCTTTTTGTTACTCAAATGTGACCTTAGTAGGTTTCTCATCTGGGTACTTTCCCTTTGCCATGAGACACTAAACCCCAGGAAAGGTTTTTCCTAACATTGAGGGGGAAAAGCTGCTAAAACTGGAAAACCTGACTCTTGACAAATGATATTTTCAGAAAAAGATCTTGTGCAGAAGGGGAAAACGTAAAAAATTTAATAAACAGAAACCAAAAATAGGATGGGCAGACCAGAAGGGGGAGCTCTCCTATCCTGCAATGATAACAGCCCAACAGGAAGAAGCAAGATACTTCTTTCCTGGCAAGGACTCAGCCAACAAAAAGTCATGGTTTCTTTGTTTATTAGAGCCCTCCCAACTTCTTTTTCCACTCTATAAAAGTGTTCAAATTCCTCTGTTGTGTGAGGACTTGCAATGTGCCCTGCCATATTGCAGACTATGAGTTGCAATTTTCTGCTGATTCTGAACAAATCCTTCTTGCTGGAGAAATACACAGTGGTCTACTTGTTTCAGACTGAGAAGGTATAAGGTTAGATTATTGATTTGAGATCTCTCTCTTTTTTTTTTTTTTTTACTATAGGCATTAACTGCTATAAAAACACTTCTATTTACTGTTTTAGATGCAAACTATAAACTTCGACTCTCTGGGCATGATAATTATATCTTAAACAAAGCAAGGTGTTTACTACACAAATTAGACCTTAGACTAATAATATCTAGAGAACAGGGCACTCAGTGCTTCAGAAAATATTCTCAGTCATGACAGTCTAAATTTCTTGCCAAGTGGACACATGAGGGTTTTCAGGAAAATCCAAACTGCTGGATCTTCAGTGTTGAATTTGGGGACAAGTGTAGAAGCCTACAGTTCAGATCAAGTGAAGACAAGCAGTCTGTGAAGGTTTTAAGGATATACTTGACTGATGGGGAAAAGAATGTGGAAAATGGGCTGAAACCAAGTATCTGTAAAGGCCTGTGCTTCTGACTGCTTCTATACAGTTGACTTCAAAACCTGACTAAATCATATTTCTGCTTTCCAAGTTTCATATAAGTTATGCTTCAGTGACTTCTAACATAGGACCATAAGGCAACACATTCTAGAAAATATAGTTCATGGTACTCACATTAACATAATAAGAGTCATTGCCAAATCTAAATTTTATTGTCCTTTCATAAAGTCTTTCTTCCTAATGGAAATCCCATAGTCCAAATATCAACCAGAAGAAATGACCAAGTGTAAAGGACAAAAGATAATAATTCACAAGAGACTGCACTGTGATGAATTTTGCATACTTACAAAGTAGAATAAGGTTCTTCAGGCAATGAAAAGGTAGAAGATATTACATGTAAAATAAATTAGGCATATCCAGTACTTGCCACAGGAAGCCAGTGGGAAAAAAAAAACCAAAGTATCATTTTTCAATGTCTTTTTCCTTACACATAACTTACAAAATTAGGTAAAAATTAAACCTACTTGCATATTAGAAATAAACTTCAATTCATGGTTCCAATAGACTTCAAAACAGACACACAAAAAATTACCAGATGACTAAAGGAAAAATTACCTATTAATTTTTTAGGAAGTATTGCTAAAGAGCCTCTTGATGAAAGTGAAAGAGGAGAGTGAAAAAGTTGGCTTAAAACTCAACACTAAGATCATGGCATCCGGTCCCATCACTTCATGGTAAACAGACTGGGAAACAGTGGAAACAGTGACAGAAAAAATCACTGAAGATGGTGACTGCAGCCATGAAATGAAAAGACACTTGCTCCTTAGAAGAAAAGCTATGACCAATCTAGACAGCATATTAAAAAGCAGAGATGTTACTTTACCAACAAAGGTCCATCTAGTCAAAGCTATGGTTTTTCCAGTAGTCATGTATGGATGTGAGAGTTGGACTATGAGGAAAGCTGAGCACCGAAGAATTGATGCTTTTGAACTGTGGTGTTGGAGAAGATTCTTAAGAGTTTTTTGGACTGCAAGGAGATTCAACCAGTCCATCCTAAAGGAAATCAGTCCTGAATGTTCATTGGGAGGACTGATGCTGAAGCTGAAACTCCAATAATTTGGCCACCTGACGCAAAGAACTGACTCACTGGAAAAGACCTTGATGTTTGGAAAGATTGAAGGCAGGAGGAAAAGGGGACAACAGAGGATGAGATGGTTGGATGGCATCACCAACGCAATGGACATGAGTCTGAGTAAGCTCCAGGAGTTAGTGATAGACAGGGAAGCCTGGCGTGCTGCAGTCCATGGGGTCGCAAGTCAGACACAACTGAGCGACTGAATTGATTGCTTAATGAGTACCTACAAAATTATCTCACCTCAATGAATACTTGTAAAACTAACTACAAATCCATACAATAGAAAATCACTTTGAGAATGAGTCAAATTACAAAGAAAATGTATGCACAAAATTTCTTTCTTTCATGTTGTGAATTTTCTGATAGCTTACCCATAATAGTACTTACATGGATGACATCTTTCCAGTAGAATATTCACATGACTTTGAAAATATTTGTTAAAATTGGAAGTTTCCCTTGCTTTTCAGTTACAAGGTTTCTATCTTATGTACATTTTTATATGGTTTTTCTGTAGGGATGTGGGGCAAGTGAAGGTTTTCCTATAGTCTACATTCAATACAATTCTCTCCTGTCCTTCCATGGTTTCCCAAAGAAATGGGACTAAGGGCTTTCCCACATTCCTTACATACATACCATTTCTCTCCAGGGTGTACTTTCATGTGTCCTGGGAGGGTTGGGTGATATATGAGGGCTTTTCCACATTCTTTTCATTCATTTTCTCCCTGGTATGAGTTCTTTCATGCATTTGAACATAACTGGGAGTGCTGAAGGCTTTGCCATATTGTTTACAAAAATAGGGTTTCTCTCTAGTGTGAGCTCTTTTATGTATTTGGAATGAACTGGGACAAATAAAGGCTTTCATACATTTCTTACATTTATGGCACTATTCTCCATTATGGATTTTTTTCATGGTTTCAACAAGAACTGGGAAGGCTTTACTACAAGTTCTACATGAACAGGGTTTCTCTCCATTGCGAGTGTTTTTATATGTTTGTAATGAACTAGGACAATCAAAGCCTTTCCCACAGTCCTTACATTTGCAAGGTCCATCACCAGTATGCATGATCATGTGTCTTTGAACATTTGAAGAATAAATAAAGGCCCTTCCACATTCCTTACATTCATAGGACTTCTCTCCAGCATGAGTTCTTTCATGTTTTCAAATGGAACTGAGGTAAGTAAAGGCTTTACCACACTGCTCATAGGGCCTGTCCCCAGCATGATTTCTTCCATGTATTTGATGACAACAAGGAAAACTGAAGGCCTTACCACATTCCTTACATTTATATGGCTTTTCTCCACTGTGAGTCCTTTCATGACAACAAAAGTAACTGGGACAATCAAAGACTTTCCCATAGTCTTTACATTTATAAGGTCCATAGCCCGTGTGATTCATCATGTGTCTTTGAAATTTTGTAAGAGAACTGAAGACTTTCTCACGTTCCTTACATACATAGGGTTTCTGTCCAGAATGAGTCCTCTCATGTTTTCCGCAGGGATTTGGACAAGCGAAAGTTTTATCACAATTTTTACATGTATAGGGCTTTTCTCCACTGTGTCTCCTTTCATGACTTTGAAAGGATCTAGAATAACTGAAGGCTTTACCACATTGCTTACATTCACACGGTTTCTCTCCAGTATGAGTTCTCTCATGTTTTCGAAAGGAACTTGAACAACTGAAGGCCTTACCACATTTTTTACATTCATAGGGCTTTTCTTCAGTATGTGTCCTTTCATGTCTTCGAATGTAACTGGCACAACTGAAAGGCTTTACCACATTGCTTGCATTCATATGGTTTCAATCCACTATGAATTCTCTCATGTTTTATAAAGTAACTGGGACAACTAAAAGCTTTACCACATTGCTTACATTTATAAGGTTTCTCTCCAGTGTGTGTTATTTCATGAATTTGACAGTATCTGAGAGAACTGAGGGCTTTACCACAGTGCTTACATCTATAGGGTTTCTCTCCAGTATGAGTTCGTTCATGTTTTTGAAAGTTGTGGTGATATCTGAAGGCTTTTCCACATCTTTTACATTCATAGGGTTTCTCTCCAGTGTGAATTCTTTCATGTCTTTGAATGAATTGGCGAAGCTTGAAGGCCTTCCCACATTTCTTACAATCATAGGGTTTCTCTCCAGTGTGAATCTTCTCATGCGTGTGTCTAGACTGACGATGCTTAAAGGCCTTCCCACATTCTTTGCATTTATATGGCTTCTCTTCATAGTCCTGATACTCACATGATTTTGGTGTAGTATGAGATGTCATGTGCCTATTAAAGAATGATGCATGAAGACCTGTCCATATATACTGAACTTGTATAGTTTTATTCCAGTAGTTTTCTTTTTCTGATTGTGATTTGAAATCTGGCTAAACGTTCCCCCATACTGATTACCTTCTTTATTTTTACAGCATCTCTACCATATGACTGCTGTAAAAAATAAGAAGCATATTATTACTGAATGGCTTATTAATTATATTTATTAATAGTTATGACAATGAAAATTTTACCATTTTCAAGGAAAGTGTAGGTTTTCTGCACATTCCAATTGAAAGTGAATATAATAAAGCTCTGAAAGATAATCAGCAATTATTAAAACAGTAATACTCATAAGTGGTGATTCTGAATATGATTCCAAGTGTACTATTTTTCATACACTCAACATTTAGGATAAATTTGAGGGAAAAAAATGGTGCAACAATTCTAAGATTCATTAAGTTTTAAGGCTGGGCTGATGTATTTTCTTTGTTTTAAAATGTCATGGCACAGATCATCTTGAGAAAGAAGAATCAAACTGGAGGAATCAGGCTCCCTGACTTCAGATTATATACCTCAAGACCACAGTAATCAAAACAGCATGGTCCTGGCACAAAAACAGACACATAGATCGATGGAATAGGATAGAAAGCCCAGAAAAAAACTCATGTATTTATGGTTAATTAATCTATGACAAAAAAGGAAAAAATATACAGTGGAGAAAAGACAGTCTCTTCAATAAATGGTGCTGGGAAAACTGGGCAGCCACATGCAAAAGAATGAAATTAGAACATTCTCTTAAGACCATATACAAAATAAACTCAAAATGGATTAAAGCTGCAAATGTAAGACTGGATACTATAAAACTGCTGCAGGAAAACATAGGCAGAACACTCTTTGACATAAATCACAGCAATATTTTTTTGGATCTGTCTCCTAGAGTAATGGAAACAAAAGCAAAAATAAACAAATGGAACTTAATTAAACTTAAGTTTTTGCACAGCAAAGGAAACCATAAGCAAAATGAATAAACAATCTACTGAATGAGAGAGAATATCTGAAAATGATGTGGCTGACAAGGGATTCATTTCCAGAATGACAAAGCTCATAAAGCTCAATATCAAAAGAGCAAAGAACCAATCAGAAAATAGGCAGAAGACTGACATAGACATTTCTCCAAAGAAGACATACAGATGGCCAACAGTTACATGAAAAGATGTTCCGCATCACTAATTGTTCAGTTCAGTTCTGCAAATCAAGACTACAATAAGGTGTCATTTCACATTGGTCAGAATAGCCATCATCAAAAAATCTACAAGTAATAAATGCTGGAGAGGGTGCAGAGAAAAGGGAACATTCCTACACTGTTGGTAGGAATGTAAATTGCTATAGTCACTATGGAGAACAGTATGGAGATTCCATAAAAAAATATAAATAGAATTACTATATGATCTAGCAATCCCACTCCTGGGCATGTATCCAGAAAAGACAAACTCTAATTTGAAAAGAAACATGCCCCCCAATATTCATAGAAGCACTATTCACAATAGCCAAGACATGGAAGTAACCTAACTGTCCACTGACAGATGAATGGATAAAGAAGATGTGGTCACTTGCATGTGGAATCCAAAAAAATGATACAAATGAACTTAACTACAAAACAGAAACAGACTCACTGGCATAGAAAACAGACTTATGGTTACCACAGGGGAAAGGATGGGGAGGGAAAACAGATAAACAACAAAGACCTACTGTATAGCACAGGAAATTATATTCAATATCTTGGAATAACATATAATGGAAAAGAACCAGAAAAAGAATGGATATTTTATATATATGTGTGTATATGTATATATATAATTGAATTACTTTTATGACTACCTAAAACTAACACAACACTGTATATCAACTATACTTTAATAAAAAATAAAATTTAAAAGATGCCATTGCATACTAATATTCTGTCATGGGACATTGCTTTCTCCTGTCAGTGTAACTCACCTCAGATTTGTCCTATGATTTTCATACTGATTTCCAATATCAAGGTCTTCCTGTCTTCCTCCTACAATGCAGACCAACAGAAAAATCATTATAAATTTAAAATATTAGAGAAAAGTTCTACATGACAAACCTATGACGACCCATGACCATGTCTGCTTTATTTACCAACATAGTCTCTTTCCACATTTTACCTCTTGAACATGTGGATAAGCAAACAACATAGGTTATCTAAAGGATTAAGTAATTAAGAATGTCATCATCCCTTACCTACTGAGGTCAAGTTTTTGAAGGTTTCCTGCATCACATCTCTGTAGAGTTTCTTCTTAGGGAAAGGATATTTTATTTTTTGAGGCAAGCACTGTTGAACTCTTTATGTTTTTTATAATTTGTGCAAATTCACTCTGAAACTATTGTAGATTTTAATGAAGCCCTTGCAGACTTCAAGTCTTAACCTGATTCTCAAGGTCATCAAGGCCCAAATTACAGTTTTATGATTCTGCCAGAAAGAAGTCTTCTGTGATCATACCATCTCAGTATGGGCAATTCTGTGTCTTAAAATTATTCAGACCCCACTCCTCCGTGCTGAACTTCACACTCACATCCTCAGAAGTCACTGAATCCTAAAACATCCCAAGTTTGTGTGTGAGAGAATGGGTAGGATGAAGAGCACCAGCAATCTAAATCAGTTCATAGGAAGTTCACATATGACACTGTGGTCTCCAAACGTTTGCTTTATAAGTTTGTCATTAGAACTCTCACTCTATGGTGATGCTCTTGGGATGGTGATGATCATGAATTCAAGAGCATCATTAACACAAGGAATTTAATTTTACATTTGTCTTGTGATCACTGCCAAGTCTTTATTGCTCTCTTTGTCAAGACAGAACATACTTCCCTGATGGTACAGTCGATAAGAACCCACCTGCCAATGCAGGGGACATGGGTTTGATTCCTGGTCTGGGAAGATTCCACATGCTGTGGAGCAACTAAGCCTATGCATCACAACTAATGAGTCAGTGCTCTAGAGCCCACAAGCTGTAACTACTGAGCCCACATGCTGAAACTACTGAAGCCCATGTGCCTAGAGCCTGTGCTCCACAGCAAGAGAAGTCACCACAATGAGAAGCCCATGCACTGCAACGAAGAATAGTCCCCGTGTGCTGCTACTAGAGAAAGCCCACACACAGGAATGAAGACCCAGTGCAACCAAAAATAAATAATTAAATAAATAGAGCACCTTGGAGAAATAAGAGAAAGGCTCTACAAATGAAAAGAAATAATTCTATTTTAAGTACACCAGTTCCTTCTGATAAAAACTTTTCCACTCCCTCTTTAATATTCACCATATTGTGCAGCACTGTACAATCACAGGTTCACATCTGCATAACGTTTTAACAAATAACAGGTGAAGAATTAGAAGGTTTTTCTTCTATTCTCATTACCAAATGTGAGGCCAAAAGTCCTGTGGAAATCCAACTTGTAACAAGAGCCAACTAGACATACTGTCCTGAAGTATTCCATGCTAATGGAAGTAGTCCAATCCAGGTGGCTGAATAAAAATATTCTTGTGGAGGAGTACAAATTAAAATTTGTATAATATTTATCACATGCTGGGTTTTACCTTCCTTTCTCTATCTCACTTTATGGGGCTAGGAAATTATTCAGTGTGAGAGTCCAAGTGTGAGGAGGAAAACAGGACAACTTGCACCTCCACAAAAATCCCTATATTCATATGCCTTGGAATGGCTTCTGAATAATTTTAAGACACAGAATTGCCCATACTGAGATGGTATGATCACAGAAGACTTCTTTCTGGCAGAATCATAAAACTGTAATTTGGGCCTTGATGACCTTGAGAATCAGGTTAAGACTTGAAGTCTGCAAGGGCTTCATTAAAATCTACAATAGTTTCAGAGTGAATTTGCACATATTATAAAAAAAATAAAGAGTTCAACAGTTCTTGCCTCAAAAAAGAAAATATCCTTTCCCTAATTTCAGCAACAAGTGATTCCTGACCAGCCACTCTCGAGGCTGTCCTTCCACCTCCTCTCATTTCTGAGCTCCCCCATGGGACACAGCAGCTTGATAGCCCATCCTGTATAGGAATCCCCAGTGGCAAAAGTTTCCTAAATGCTGGTCTCTAAAAGAGACCAATTATCCATTGATGTTCATGAGAAGATTACAGAAAAAAAGGCTACCATTTATCGTGACAATGCTTGAAGTAGAGTAACATGAAGGAAGGAACATCTCTCTTGTTGTGGGTCCAGGCAGTAAGAGAAGTTGCCTAAAGGTAGCCCTGATTACTCTTTATTCACTGGAACAACAGTGCTGCTCATAACAAATCCAACTACATCGTGTGCAAAAGACACAGTGAACATTAGCAGGCCCAGGACTGCTTACCCTTAGAAATGCTTGCTTAGAAATTTCATCTTTCAGTAGGATCCGTGGTTTTGGGAGTAAGCTCAACAACCTTATAAACATGCCTCTGTGAGTCTAATGT